TAACAACGTCGAACTTTGAGACATGTCTCGTGGGTTGGTAGGAGATTTACCCATCTAAAATGCACATTTTAAATTGTAAATCATGCTCGCAGCATGAAGGTAGCTTAACTGTTCAGATTCCCGTGTCTCAGTTTGGATAACTCAATGTACTCACTCTACTGAGAAAATTATTTTTTCACCTGCCATCTCATCCGTAGTTTTCTAAGAGATTCACATTCCGTCAGAGGATAAAGAAACTCCTGGGGAAAAACAGCAATGTGAAAGTATCAGTATACCTGTTTCACCAGGCCGATCCGGGTCGAATCAAAAGCCTTATGGGACTGATAAGCACGGACCTGTTTTGTCACTTTTAGGTGAACGGTCAATTGAAAGCAAACAGTATGTGCAGATTGGTGGCAAAAGACCGGGGACGATCGTGTTCAGTATACTTCAGAGCCTTCAGGGAACTCATCATTTTACGTTCTACGCAGACTAATTACATCCTAGTCACTCAAACGGTGTATGACAAGAGTTTACTTGCAACTCCACATGGCTTACATCCGGACTCAAAATAGTGTGAGGAGATGTGATCGTATTCAGTAGAGATTTCATCTTGTTGTTGAGATTAATCTATGCTTAGAAGTCGCGAAGCAACGTACAGTAGTTTTTGCTTGTTGGGGATAATCTGCTTTGCGCTTTTCACGAAATTGTCAGAAACTTTTGAACATGCGACCTTCCGGCTAGTGGTTGAACACCTGACCATTTGGCCACGAGTGTCGAACTTGCGACCTTCCAGCCAGCGGTTGAACACCTGACCATTTGGCCACGAGTGGCCCATCAGCAGTGTGGCCCTCACTAAGGCAAGCCAGCGCCACTCATCCTTCACTAACGGAAAACGTATCACATGATGACGTATTGAATTCCTCCTCATGTGACGACGTCTCAAAACATGTTTAACCATCCAGTGAAGCTATCCTTCCTCTGAGTCTCTATATGTAGCCTATATCTGGATTGCTTGCTTTAAGTACCCCGCCGACAACCCCGTCCGGCTGCATCTTAATGCAATAAAGTATACTAACTGCCTATGAGTTAAATCACAACTATTCTAGCACGGTTACCTAAATGTGACTTTTAATCAGACGACTGCCACCTCAACACGATGCCGTTGCAGTTCATTTGCATCCATGTCCTACCTATAATAATAATCTGCTGATGCGCAACATTACTGCTAAATTTTGACTTCATTAAAATCCTGTCCACCGATAACACTACCCCACAAGTTCGACATTGATAAATCGGCCTATCATAGCTTGGTTGAATCTTATCAACATGATGCCGTGTGATCCCTTCAATCATACTGCTATCCAAGCCCGCTCAAGCCCGGATTGTTGGATGTCCAACCACTGTCCGGATGTTTGCGGATTCAGAACTCTGGGTTTCGAACGAGGTGCGCACCGCTGATGATTCCAAACAAGGACAAAGCAGTTGTACAGTGTTGGCCTGCTTTTCGTTCCTCCTCTAGAATGCCCGAGTATTCCCACATTGGTGATGACCAGTGTACCCCTAAGACAGTTATATCTACGTGACTGCAATCAAACCGTAGACACCAAAATTGCAACTCAGGTGTTACTGCAAAATAGGAAACTGATGAAACAGTTTTCAAACAACGTCTATCCCAGAAAAAGTACTGCAAAAACCAAAATAGAACAATCCCTCCAACATGAGACAATCGAAAGATCCAGCAGATCACCCCGAATAAAATTAAAGCTGAGTCGATCAGAAACGTACAACCAGAGTCGGACATGTGCCCTTGGTTTTGCGTCGCGCTTGTTGTACCACCTGAGGTCAAGACGTGTTTGAAGTTCTCTGTCTCCTCTCTTTGGATGAAATTCTCACTTGCCAGGAGCCTTGGGGCTCTTTCTTTCATTTTTTACCCGTTATGTCTCATATTAGTTGGTGGCGATTAGCTAGCCTAGGGATTTAGAACAGTTTGTACCTACTGGGTGTGAACTGTTCTCGCCGGTACATAATTCATCCTACTAGCATTCCGCATGGAAGCCGGTAATGGCCTTCAAGTAATTTTATTGACAATCACCACATCGTGTGCCGAGCATCACGTAAAATCCTACTGAAGGCAAGTGTGCATTTGACGGTCTGTCATTTTGATGTGATTCTTGGTCAAAATGCCTGTTTAACCTAATTCAGTAGCCGTATAACTACTTTTGAATCAAGATCGTATTTCTACCGTGTACCAAAAATCTGATAGTTACCAGGCCCATGGGTTGCTCGATGCTCACAGGATCTCACAGGAAAAGTGCGGTCGGAAAAACGTAGACACGTAAGCTCTTGGTGCTTATGAACACTCACTGCAAGTAGAATAAATAATCGGGCATGGTTCGATCAACGATCACACCAGGATCCAAAGTGATTTTTCTAAAAGATGTTCAATGGAAACATGGTATGGAGGGTTGCGGCTTGAAACTGTCAACCAGAGCGTGACTTGTGCCAGTTGTCTACGTCACCTGACGAGTCCAAAGAAGGACGAATGCGCCTGAATTTCATTCATTGGTTGTTAGTCTCTTCGACGAGCTTCACAGTGGGATTACCAGCATTCCATCGTCGATAAAGGTGACACCGTCATGAGGGATTGGATGGGAAAATTCATCCTATTCTGCCATGATTCCTAAACAGTATCTGATAGGTCTAAAGCGGTTGGTGGGTCCCGAGGTGATCTTCATCTAATTTAATCAGTTGTTCACCAGGGGCCTTCAATTAGACAGTTCTGTTCTTCTGTTGTGATTTTGCCGTTTCCTTCTTGCACTGTAGTTTGAATCTTTCCCACTTGATTGGTTGATTCCGAAACCATATAGTCCCCGGCAAAACAGGAGGAATTTACCCACTGATGGTGCCATCTTGATCGATGATGGAACGTTTTCAAACTTCTTTGAGTCCTCTAACTTGTGGTAATTGCCCATGAGGACCAGACTTGTATGTAAATGAGTCTATTAGACGATTTTCTTGTAATCCGGGTCCAAAGGGTACTAAGTGACCGCACCTTGCTGATAAACCTGAAGAAGGTTGAGATCGGTCATGGGCTTCTGAAGAATTTTCAGCAAGATTATGAGGCTCATTGCTGACTTTAGGACCTTCATAACTCTCGTGAAAGTCTCTAGTGGTTGACGACAAATGAGAAAATTGATCTGCAGGAGAAAGGATCAAGAGTTCTGGGACAACTGAATTTTCTCTTCTCCGACTATATTCATATAAACATAAAAAATGTTCAGCTCCGATTTTCGTTCGCGGGATTTCCTCACTTTTGAAATGGAATTTTGAATAATTGCCCCATGCGTAGAATATGAGTACTGAGGAAAATATCCTTCAACTCTCCAAAAGAAACGTGTCATTTGGAAGTGGGTCAAACCCATAAAGTTTAGCCCCTAACACTTGCACATGTGTCATATTCGACTACGTATGACTTGTTTATATGCGAAATGCAAATAAGATGAGTGGAGTAAGGTTTTCTCTTAACTACTAACTCCTCAACACCATTGTTAGCTTACGCGAGGCGCCATTGGTGGCCACACGGATGATGTAGAATCATCAGGTTACTCAATGTTGTCCGAATGGTAAGTTAATCAATAAATAATCCTACGATATTCCAGTTGAAGGAGAGTGGTGTTCCAATGAAAGCCAACCGGATAATACTGGTGTGTCCTCAGTCGATGACAGTTGTCCACCGATGGCTATCGGATGATCTCCGTGTGTCTGCACATCAAACTTGAGCTCTTTGGCGACAATACGTACTTGCATGATTCACATCCATCTCCACGTCATTCTAAACAAATAATCGGTGTTCCAACCGAACAGGGTCAAAAATTACAAATCAGATTCCAAACAAACTTAGTATTCCGAGAAATAAGATTCTACTGAATGGAGCATACGATGTAATAAAATGTTGAATGTCCAGATGTACGTCCACCGCAACTGAATTCCACACCAGCTGAAAGATTGGGTAAAACCAACCTACCTGGAAACTCAGAGTCAAAGACTCATATCATGAGCATTGGTATATGTCCATGTCACCCATCCACCAGTGTTGAAAGGGTTCGGCCAATTCACTTATATATCTGAAGCCTATACCAGTGTCCAAGGAACCTATTAAAATAGAACATTAGCAGAACATTAGCATATGCTGCACAGGTAATGCTTTTGGTTACGCACGAGCCAAGAGGAATGACTAGACACCACCACTGTATAGATTGATTCCAGCAATCTGTTGAACCACATCGAGTAAGCGCGTAGCCCCTCAAATGGAGGTTTATCTACAAATGCGGTACTATAAGTACAATAATAAAATGATAGAGCTTTACAAACCTCAAATCGTGGAACTATGCCGGCTTCTATACACCGGTTTAGGAACTGCTAATTCCTAACAGGTCTCAACGCCCACGCCGACTAAAAGCCACGTGTTTACAAGCTAGCGAAACCACGTGTGAACCTAAACAGCACATCCGATGACAAGGTTAAGGAACAGTTTATGTTCAGGTCAAAAACAAGAAGGGTGGTATAGGCACAAAGAAAAATAACAATAGAACATAAGGTTGACGGAAACCCGGGGACTGCGCCTACCTGATAAGCCCCAAGAAGGGCGAAACCGGTCGTGGGCTGCCGATGGATTTTCAGCAACCTTATGAGTAGTACATTACAAAGATATACATGTATCGCGATATTTCAAATATCGTGGCGAATGAAACATGAGGTGGCCTGGTGCAGTACAGTTGCCTGAGAACATCATAAACGAAAGATTAAGCTGGGTTCCAGGTGAGTCTCTCGAAAAAAAGCGAATTGGTTTGCAAATGAGTGTATATTCGTTTATTAAACTTTCTTTTTTCGGCTCACATCAAACAACTCAAATATATCAATCGATTGCCAATCTTATGGTCAGTTTCAGGGAGCGCACTGTCATAATCAAAGAAAACTATCAGCACAGAATCTACTTAATTTTTCTTTTTTAATTTCAGGTTACACTCTGCCTTGGTTTCGACTTCTGACAAAACGCTCCTTGTTTTTATCGTTCGGTTATTCTTCCCGAGTGAATTCACTATGCAACGAGAGAAAGTAGTTATGAACATAGTCAAAAAGGCTACGTACCGCTAGCTATCATGCACGTAAGCGATAAACACATGTTCAAATTGATATCGGCCTGGCATTGCAAGAAAAATATATTGCTATGGAATACGTGAAGTTGAACGCTCTCACAATACAAACCAAAACAATGATGGCATGTACCTCCAGTATGGAGTCCGAGAGCAAATTCAACGTTCATATGTGTTTAAGTGCTACTGATATTTTTGCTCGATCTGCTCTAAACCAGTAGCATATTGCATTTGAACGTCTCAAAACAAGTCTCTGAAGAAAAATCTGAACATGGCAACAGTGGGAGTGTATTGAAAAATATTCCCCCATCCCGGAATGGTCGGCAGGTTGTTTCGGGTCTCTATAGAGTTTTCGAGTGTTTCCTGTACCACAAGCGCTGCCCTGGCCTGGTACAGTCTCCTGTCTTGCCCGGCAGAGCATTTCTCACTAGTAGCAAATAATCACTTATGACGAGGGGTCACAAAGTAAGAAGCGGAGCGGCGCTAGCGTGTTCGCCGTTCATTCAGACTGATAGCAAGATATGCATTCCGAATGGTTTCAGGAAAATAATAGTTCTTGTACACTTAATTCTATTCTTTACGGCGATTTCTACTACGCTTGCGTCTTTAGGGACATTCGTAAGCAACATCGCCCATCTAGATTTGTTCACACGTGTCGTCCCAAGCAAAGAGCAAAGCACATTTAGACGATAGCTCACAGCAAATCACCCTATGAGATAAATCGGCAAACTACGTCTCTCCGTGAAAAGTGAGAGAAAAATATTCAGCTTACAATACAGACCAAAAGATGGGGAAATCGCACATGAAGAACGTATTTACATGTTTGTATACTCGTCCACTGGTGGGCACGGAATTCGTTTATTCGAACCATTGGCCAAAGGCCATGAATCTGTGCTTCCGTGGTATCAGGGGACATTCTGGTGCAAGCCAGAATGAATTGAAAGTCCCAGTCGTGGGCTCTGACATGGTCGGTCGAGTAACTGTCATCGAAGGAGGCTGTTGAACAAACAGGATAAATTTTAACGACATAGGCATGCTTTCGCTAAGATCAAAATCTGGAGCAAACAGGTCCACAAATTCGGGTTGTGCTAAGGGCACATATTGTAAATCCAGTCAGAACTCAGTTTGTCAGAACTGACCTCAATGCTGTCAGATCAGTCTCTTGGGGTCATCCATAAAGTCAGTTCACAGCACTTCCGTAATTCTCTCTGAAAACCACTGGCTTCCACGTGAGGGCTTTATGTGAACATGATGATTTGTGACCTGGGTCAAATCTCTAAAGTTTGACTTATATGAAAGCGGACAAAGCCAGTCAGAATACATGTGAAAATAAAATAAATCAACCTGGGTTAGGCCACAGATTTTCAGAAAGCATACGCACGTCACAAGCGGAGCCACCGCACTGACGTACAGAAGACACTCGTCTGAATCAACGTGAGTATACTAGGTGTCCCAGAAAGGAAAGCAACGTAATTTGTACAATACGGGCCTATACACACAATTGTTTTGCGCTACCGACGTCATATGAAGTAAACTCCTCTGATTATTAAGTGGTGTGGCTGTATTATATTCCGTCAGATTCTAACGATCAGTAGATTACAGTTGATCCAAAATAAAACTCATCGGACACATTTAGCAACTTGCCATCGTGAGAACGAGACACTTCTACATATTTTCTACACCATTCCATTTATCCATTTATACCATCATGGTTGCTTAATAGCGTTCGGTTTAAAACGGTTTGTGGAAAACTGTGCCAGGTATCTTCAATCGATTGGAAAATGTTTGGGATTGATTGGGAAGTCATCGTTTCAAGGAGGTTTGGTAAACAATCGGTGGATTTACTGCTGGGCAACGTTTCGCTTTTGACACAAAAGCTTCGTCAGGCCATGTGAGTAGGTAAGTAGGCTGTATTCCAAGAGCTTCTTGCAATGGAAGCGGAAAAATTACGTGTACAGTTGGTCACAGTCCTGAAGACCCAACAACCAAAGGTTCCAAACATTGCACCAGCTGAGCGAAGAGTCTTAAACACGTTAAAAAATGTAGACAGCGTAGTAATTACACAGGCAGATACAGGTGAGGCCACTCACAAGTCTCACCCACAAAGCAGTGAAAGCATATTCGATTCCACTCCTCTAGCCTTCTACCCTGACGTGTAAACTACTAGGTAGCGTTTGACGAGGTTTTTATGTATGACACTCCCTAGACACAAGGACGAAACTGTCTGGCTTAATCGGATTTAATGTACGGTTCAGATTTATGGGGCTGTCTAAAACACAAATTCCCATACTTCTGAAATACAAGAAGAGAATTGACTTTGAAGCACTGTGAACGGACCCAACAACTCCGCCAGTTCTTCGCAATGCTAACGATATCTTATCCGACTCCATCGAGCCCCACAAAAGATGCAGCCGTAAATATATCTTCCTATATATTCATCCGACATCATACGACAAAATAAAGTCAAACGTAGGGCCACCGAACACAAGTTAACTGAGCCTACCAGCAAATTATATGAGGATCCGTTTGTTCCTCGGTGAATTACCATTCCCAGGATTTGGGTTGTAACACGTTGCGAACGTCAGACATAATGCGGAATTCAGAACTTTCAACAGCCTCAACGTGAAATTGTAGCAACTGATACGTGGCATCGTTCTGTCAGTCTCACAGGAATCAAATTGATGTCATGCAGATACCAGTCTTTGTCAGCTTTCTTCTAATCTTGTAACACTTCAATTCGGGTACTTACCACCTAGGTATGTAAGTATGATCTCACTATTTTCGCTTCCTTGAAATTTGTGAAACGACACCTGGCACATTTCAGAGGGGTTTGGTAAACAATCGATGGTTTTATGGCTGGGCAACGTTTCGCTTTTGACACAAAAGTTTCGTCAGGCCAAGTGAGTAGTTAAGCAGGTTGATTGGGTTTTAAGGCAGTCAGGGAACCAATCCGTGAGATTCCTTATGACAACTGACTTAATCAGTGCTGGGTGTTCATTCTGATGTTCCTGTTTGTTGATTAGTGGAGAGGACTAAGATCTACGATAGATTCGTTAGGGGGGACTCGTCTTTATGATGAACCGGATTTTTTCGTCCCTGATTCTTCAGTCTAGGACACCTTAATGGAAAATTCCTCTTGGGGTCGTCCACAGATTTCGTTCACCTGTGTTCGTCCAAGGTTACTGGGACGATGGTTTGGGGATGGGGTTGGGGTGGTTAATTGGATCTAACTCTACTTGGATTTTGTGCTTTTAGATCCAGGCGATTTCGCTGATAATTGCACACGGCCTCGTGTCATCTCGGCTGATCTATGACCGCTCTCCACACGTTTGCAAGTTCTACCCCTTATATTTTATTCACGCTGGGATGCTTGGCGATTTCCACCAGCTCGGCCACTAGTCGCTGTGGTGTGAATCTTAAACCTCGTCTCAGGATGTCCACATTTTTAAATCTATTCTCTGCCCAGTGTCTAGAGCATACCCTGCCATTGCTGAATTACTAACTAACGCCTGGTACTTCTCTGCGTTTCTCGGTGGTCTATTAATGGAACGCTTATGCTCACCGATTCTGGAGGGCAATTCCCTGGCTGTCTGACCTATATAAACCTTCGTACAGTCGTTAAATTTTATTTTGTATACACAGTTTCTAGTCCTATTAAACCGGAAGGCGATCCTTCAAATGCACCCCTTCTGGAAAGCTACTCTAATGTTAGCCGTAATCAGTACCCTTCTAATGACTTCAGATGTCCCTGCTTTGTATGGAATGACCGCTGTTCCGATCCACTCCTTGTTGTGCCTTGGTGTTGACACCAATACCCGTCTTAGTTGCCACTTACTTAGACCCGCTGTGTATCCGCTATCTTGAGGTCACTTTTTTACCTCAAGTTGTGCTGCTCTTCGGTCCACCTCCTCTGTACACAGTAATCTCACTCTCCTAAGCATCGCTGAGGCGATGCTAGCATATACTGCTTTTGGATGTGCAGAGGAGTAGTTTAAGACCGCACCGCTATCTGTTGATTTTCTACATACAGTGGTTTTTAATTTCCCACCACCCTTGTGAGTCATGCAGTCAAGGAAAGCTAGTGTACCCGATATGGATTCTAGCTCAATGATAAACTTAATGTGAGGGTCCAATGTGTTCAGATGTTGAAAGAATTCGTTCACCTTATCCCGCTTTATCACAACAAATGTGTCATCTACGTAACGCCAGAACACCCTTGGTGGACAGTCGAATCCGTTTAAAGCTTTCTGTTCGAAGTCTTCCCTGTACATGTTGGCCAAAATCAGAGATATTGGTGATCCCATCGCTAAACCTTGTTCTTGAGAGCATATAATTGAATCAAAAACAAAATGACTGATGTTTAGGCATACCTTTATGCCTTCGACTATCTTGTCTACGGAGATTTACGTTCGTTCTTGCAGCGTTGTGTCTGCCAGTAAAAGTCTTTTCGCTACTTCAACAGCGTCCACTTTAGGGACGTTGATAAACATTGAGTTGACGTCAAAGCTAGCCAGGACTTCGTCTGGCTCTATCCGAAACCCAGCTACTTTATTTAGCAAACTCATACGAATCTTGGATGTGTGTGGGTGACTTGCTGGCAAGTGGTTTAAGGATACCTGCTAGAAATCTGGCCAGCTTATGTGGTGGTGAACCTATGCCATCCACTGTTGGTCTTATGGGGACACCTTTCTTGGAAATTTTCGGTAACCCGTAAAGTCGTGGTTAAGTTGCACATTTTGGCTACCATCAATATTACTTGCCTTGCCCAGATGGTTTATCACAGATCTCAGATACCTCCCAACTTCACCTCGTCCCGTTACTAATTTGTCGGGAAGGACAATCAGCTATGTGTTGTCTAACTTTCTGAAGATATTCACTCTTAATCATGGCGACCGTGGCCTTACCTTTATCTGCCTGTGTAATTACTACGCTGTCTACATTTTTTAACGTGTTTAAGACTCTTCGCTCAGCTGGTGCAATGTTTGGAACCTTTGGTTGTTG